TGTAATACGCCTCCTCACTGCCCCCCCAATCTGGAAAGCCTGGCGCCATCCCTGGTTTTCTCGCGTTATCCTACGGAATATTGGTATTGGTGAAGTCCTATTTTAACCCTCTTTATGTTCAAGCAAAAAGTTGGGCTCTAGAATTTGGTTTCCGTACCCCTTTAAGGGTGGTTATTAATCAGTTTAAATTTTTTAATCGACGCCCAGCCTCAATTTTAAGAGTTTTCAAGGCAGAAGGTTCAGAGAAGTAGCAAATGTGAATGGGCCTAAAGAGACAGCTTAATTAGTAATGGACAACGTTACAGATACAGCCCTGCATGTACTATTCACAAGCACACCTCTATCTGAAGCATGGGAGTAAATTTTAATGCGGAGAAAAAACTCGAGCATATTAGCACTAAGGCATATCTGAACTAAAGATGCAGCATAGATGTAATGGGACCAGACAAACAACTTGACACTAGTGCCAGAGTCCTTCATCATGCTTCTGGTCACGAAACATCTTTGTGCACCATGGGAGCACTTCGTACGTCGCCGAGCGTGACCACACCGAGGCGCCAGTGTCAACAAAGAGGCATTCACCGAGACGACAGAGAAGCTGGCTACCGTCGGCGGCAATTTTGCATTGCCGTAGGAAGTCACTGGGATGGGGCACGTTAGAAACAATGCCAAGAACTTGGGTGACAAGCTGCCAATCTGACTAAAGAGGCACGAACGAATAACCGATTTCTGTAATACTGATGCACGGCAATGTGAGAGTCAAAGCGAGTCAGATCACTACAAGAAGCCGGTGGCTTTCCTTTCAGGTCCACGAATTTGCGTGTGCGTAAGAAACATATGCATAGACCATCGAGGTAATGGGTGCATTGTGAATGAGGACGATGTGTCACTAAAGTGCAAGAGATCGAAGTTCAGGGCTAGTGCACTTCCAAGGATTTTTTAAGGCCTCGCAGAGCATTTTCCTAAGCCAAGACCCCGTTCTCGATCGCTGACATTATTCAAATTCACTGGGGCATTATTCACACGGTGAAGAAATCCCTCCTTTTGCTTCCCGGGATGCGCATCACGTGGTAACAACGGCACGCTTTTCAGCAGAGCCGCGCTGACCTAGAAATCCCAGAGGAATGGGGAAGCTTTTTGCTCGGGCTGCACAAACACTCCCCGCCTTGGAGTGGGATCTCTTTGCAATTGGCAATTTTTCATTCGCGTGTCTGGCAACTTTTCGAATTTTTCTCAGCAAGAAGCCAGCAGTCGAAACGGGATCGCCTAACTTGATGTGGCTTGCGCTGTTGCCCACGTCGTCCGAGGCACCCGAAGGACGCCTCGGACGACGCTTCGAGGCGAAGGACGCTTCGATATTCATCAACGTCGTCCTCAAGCCGCTCTTCATACAACTGGGTTTTAACTCTAAGTTTTTTGCATTGCATCCACCCATTCAAAAACCATTTCCTTTTTATTAGGAAGCAGTTTGTCGTCCTTTGCATCTATAAGCGTTGCTGCCATGTTCGCGTATCGCCTGTTCATGAACACCTCCATTTTTCTACACACGTCAGCGCGCACCGACCCCTGTTGTTGAGAGCGCAATCTCTAAATGCGTCTGATAACCAGTGACATCCCCCTCGGCTCCCTGCCATTCCCGTCAATGCTTGAATCAGGGAGGGAGTCTCGCTGGCCCCGCCGATCACTGACGTCACGAGCATCCCTCCCCGAAAAGCATCCCTCGTGTGAATGCCCATCTAAAAGGCAACATAGTATTTTCCCACCCGACTGTGCAGGGACGGAAAATTTTAGCATCTCGTGCTCAAGCATTTTCAAACAGATGGACTGGCAGCTGACTGTAAGAATTGCAGCTATCTCAGTGTTACATGGCTTTGCTGCACATTCTCTCAGTTCCTCCCCAAATTCGCGGCCTTCAAAAGCACTTGTCCCTATCCCCTTTTTGTACTGCTTTATTTATTCTCATAATGCACCGACTCACCCAACTGCACACCATGCTTCAAAAGCAAGGGTCAAACGCAAAAGTCGTAACGACGCTTTTAAATTATTCTGCAGATGCAGTACAATGCCCAGCAGACATTCATTTTTTCTGAATGCACTTTGCATTTTTTTAGAAGAGAATAAAAGTTATGATTGTACAAGGAACTGCTCATATCAAATATTCAACAGCAGAAATTCGCACCAAACACATTTGCAAGCAATTTTGTGTTTTTCTTCGGTTTGCGCAGTATATACTGTAAATCAATTTTTTATATTGCAAAGAATTCTACTTGATAGTGCACATACTGTAAAAAATCCACAGAAGCACCCACTTTGCTCAAGTGCCCAATAATGACATTTCGTAAACTTGGGAATTCTGCAAATTATACAACAACCATCTGACTTGACTGGGCAAGCGCCCATGTCTAGATTGATCCAGTTTTTAGTAAAGGTGGGGTGGGCACTCCCCCGTTAATATACGGTAGTTCTGACCAAATTTATGGTGCTGATTCACAAGGTTGCGCCGAGCAGCACACACTTTTGCAATTGTTGCAAAATATCTGTAAAGCCCGATATTGGGCACTCGCAGAAACTTGGGCAGTTCCTCGGTATTTCATGGTAACTGGTGGTATGCATACTGTTGAGACCGGTTATAATGAAGTCGGTTATAACAAAATATCGGCTACAGCGAAGCGATCATGATTTCCCATTCCAGTATGCACTTTTTCAATGCATTTGTGTCCGTTTTTAGCGAAGAAAATTTTGTGATAATTTAAGAAAAGAATAAAATTCGGAAAGTTCACAATGTCTCGGACCGCTGCACTTTGCTGCTGCGGCCATGACGTCACCCAGAACAGGCTGCAGAAGATGCTGGAAAGGCCGCCGGCGGCAGTCTCTGCAACGTCGTCTGCTCCCCGCTCCTTATCTGGGAAGCGGCTTTACAGCATCGCGCACAGAGAAGCCGTCGTGGAATGCTGATAGGGGCGTTCAGAGCGCTAGCGACAATGTACTGGTGCGTACCAGCGGAGGCGACAGAGAAAGCCTCGATTTAAGAGAGACAGCAGTAAGTACGCCTGCATTTTATTGTCACGTGGTCAGTGTGGCGAGGAAACTGGGCGGAGAGGCGAACACGTTTGCAGCAGGTGAAAGCTTTTGAGTTTTGACTCCTTGCACGCTGCAGCTTGTTTTGCGAATGCGGCTTACAGACCACGTGACCCCGATCGAGCAGTTGCCCCATCTCTAAAATCTAGGCTCTCTATACCAACCATAAACAAGCTTGAGCGCTAACTCGGTGCCGTGCTGCTTCTTTGTTTGCTTCATGATACGTATCGGCGTCTGGTCGGTGAAATCACTTTTGCGCGAAAGTCTACTTCGCTTAAGCCCCGATTAGCCGCACCATCACCCCTCAACGATTAAAGTCCCGGCACCGCCGGCACCTCGACAGGGAAGACGAAGGTAATCTCCTTGAATCAAAAGCGTGCCATCCTCGACGTAGTGCACATAAATGTAAAGAATGCCGTCCACCGCTGGCATCCACCACAGGGCCATTGCAGATTTCGACACGGTCCGTACGTAGCAGAATCTTTCTTCGATCGGAGCTTCTCACAGTTGGCAAGAAGCGGTTCCGATCTAGCAGATGACGCGTGCAGGGAAGCCTCGACAGCTTTCTGCAGGCTCGATAAACACGTGCCCGTGACAACCTGCGTTATCTTTTTACAGCGAAGCTGTTAAGGGCTAGTTTCCCCAGGATTGCGTCCCTCCCCAAAGAAATGTAGACACAACACTCTGGATAGCTACTGCCATCTATGAGCGACGGCAACAATCAGACAACCAGCTTGCCGGTTGTCTGGTTGCTGCCGTCGTTCACAGATCGCGGCAACCTTTCCAGCCTTTACACTCTCGCTTGCCGACTTGCGGCCAGCCATTACTTTATTCCCACCACAATACAGCTTCGCTGGTCTTCCTTCTTCACCAAAGTGGAAAGGCAGAAAGATTCTTTTTTTTTTTAGAGCGCAGCTCTTAGGCGCCGTTTCCGGCTTGAGCGGCGTCGCCGTCAGCGTAACCGCGCGGTGCATTATGGGAAATGTCCCATAATGCACCGCGCGAGCCCCACCCCCCTCCCCCGGTGTCATGTGACCTGGGGGGGGGGTCACGTGACCCCCCTCCCCCCCGAGGTCACGTGAACCCCCCTCCCCCAAAAATCATGACCCCCCCCCCGAGGTCACGTGACTCCCTCCCCCCGAGGAGATTCAAGAATGAGGGGAGGAGGAGGATAAGGAGGTGAGGACGAGGAGGGAGGAGGGGTATACCCTCCCCTCAGTACCCTTCCATCCTCCTCCTCAAGAGCTGAACTCTAATTTGGGGTTACAGGAAGTTGTAAACGGCTTTCACTTTTTTAATGTTATTTATATGAGATTATATATAACGAAGAAGCGGATATAGCAAAGCGATTTCTGTTGACTTTGTTATAACCGGTCTCGACAGTATTATATGTCATTCGTGTGGTGCAATTGAATCGAAACAATTATTAAACAAAACAGACACAGCTAAGGCTGCCAATGTGCATTCACGGCAGCATTGTTTTCGAGATCCAACATTAATCAATTAACATGCACAATTTGTTTCATTTTCTTTGTTCATCATGTCACAAAAATGCATCAACTGACACAGATTCAAACACACCATAAAACATAGCATGTCTGCACCTGAAAACACGCAATATTTGCAGAAAAACCAAGTGCAAGCAAAGCTGCAACAGAAATGGCAACTTGTGCGACTGATTGCCGCCAATTTCATCCTGACTCAGGCATTCATTTCATATTCGGACAAACCCACAGCCAAAGTGTCCATGAAACAACAAAAGTTACTAAAACTCTTCTCAATTCAATCCTCGATTCTTTGCTGATGCAAATCATATCAGATTAATTACTGCATTAGGACCAGTAACAAATTAAGTATCGAGACGACACCAGTGTGCCAATCAAAGCAGTCAAGAAAATGCAGCTGGCAAAAGTGACACCTACCTTGCTACCGTGCCAGATCTCTTTCAGTTGTCCCCGACACCATGCAATGCACACTGTTGGGATCAGTGTGGCTGGAACCAGGTACAGCAATGCCGGCTGCGGTGTCTTCATCATGTACAGGGCCACGAAGGTCACCACTAGTCCCACGCCGTAGACTGCATGACAATCGTGACCCCCATCTCCACAACTGTGGAAAGCTACTAGCGCAGCACTGCTCACACCTTCAATGTGCAAGTCCTAACAGACGATCACATGCTCACCACATGGGCTCAAAGAACCCTCAGGTTCTTAGGAACTTGGCTTGAGAGCCCATGGCCTAGTGTTACACACAAAGCCCTGTGACTGGGACAGTGACGAAAAGAAGCCGCGGAAAGATGGGAGAGTTTTAACGACTTGTACCAATGCATAAGCAAAGATGACTGTGGCACATCAAAAGTTTTGTAGCACCTCTTTTAAAGGAGCGGTGCAACGATATTCAATTGGAATGTTTTTCACTCGACACGAGCTTACTGGCACACCTGGGACTCAAGGATACCCACACGCAACGCCACTGGCCAAGAAACTCTTTTGTTGCGATGTAATTTCAAGGACAAAAGCGATCATTTTCATTCAATCTCTCCTTTGCAAAATTTGATGACGTAACTCGGGGATCGCAGTACACCCAAGTGACGATATTTGAATGCGGTTCATAGATTGGACCCGAGCATTGCGTGGGCACTCGACTTGGGCTCGTGACAATTGCTAGCTCGAGAAGCATTCGGGTTGTGACCCGTGTCCAATCGCTGCAACGACGACAACAGCCGAGCCATAACAATGTCTGGAACTCAGCGCGTGTCCTGCGCTTTGCCAACCCCAGCGCGTGGCTATGATCAACACTGGCGGCATATAATCGGCTCCAGATCACGTGGCCGCTTGTTCTGGCTGCGAGTTGAGGGGGTGAACGCTGCTCGTTTTTCTTAAATTTTTTTCTGGGACTTCTATTGCGTGGGGTGAAAAACGAACGCGTGTTTCATAGGTCATTAACGTTAGGGATCCGTTTTAAACGGTATTTGCGCAAAGTACAAAAATTGTTGCATCGCTCCTTTAAGTATGCAACGAGATCTCATTATCAACCCTTCCGCAGTATACGAAAAGGAAGAGTCGAGCAGCATGAGCAGAGCACTTTTGGTGAGAGGGAGAAGCATGTGCCAAACTCATCAGGATCTACAGGGTGCACCAAAAAACAAATTACAGTTTTTTTTCACCGCAAAAATAAATTATGCATCACTAAGCGCTCGTTCTCCCCCAAATGTAATGCTAGCAGTTCGGACCAGGTTCCCGAGTTTCAGAACTTCATCTCACTCAAAAGTTAGTATACGTGATGTTTTGAAAATTTCGACGGGGAAACGGGGAAAGTTTTGCTTTTTTTTTGGCAACTGGCGCCATTCAGCTCCATCTGTTCGAGAGCTTGTTCGGCAGCAATTATCCCATTGAAAATTTCAGAAAATCACTTAGAATTTTTAAGCAAGGTAATAGTTCTGAAGCCTTGGCATCTGGTTTGAACCACTAGAGAACATTTGGGCAAAGAATGAGTGCTCGACAATGCATAGCTCCTTTTTGTGATAAAAAAAAACACAGTACACCTTACCCAGCAGTGGGAGGGCATACTGTAGAATGGCGGCTGCCAGAAGCTCTTTTGCAGAATGCTATACACCCCCCAAAAGCCAATCCCAATTTACTGCATACTATCAGTTTAATATGAAATGAGATCTTAATACTACCTACGGTAAGTCCTCTAAGAATCAATTTTCCAGTAGATCAATAAGAGGCACAGCCTAGCGAATGAAGAGATGCAAAACACATTTGAATAAAAAAAGGCTATATGCACTGGAAAGTTTGGGAATACGAAATATGATGATCAGTGTCCCAGACCAGATCCTGTTCCAAGTTGATACGCAAACTGCACCGAATCATTTGCTCGTCCCATTTTGCAAATCACAAAGAATGATCTATCGTCTCTGCGAGGAGGGTAGGTCATCAGGTTTCATAAAGGGTAGTGTAATGGTTGGAACTGTATGACACGCAACAAATTTTAGTTCAATCACGCACCAAAGCTACAATACTTACAAATGGTTCCCGACAGGAAGTAAACGCGGTTCCTGGTGTTGAGCAGGTCAAAGCCATGACAGTAGGCAACTAGAAGCCCTGCACATTGCAACAGTGCACACTCAGAAGGGTTCTCTGGCATCTAGCCCATATGCACAACTTCTAACACAAAGCAAAGACTGAAGTTGAGCAATTATATCCTTGACTAATGAAGCTTGCCCAGTGCTGACTGGATTGTTACACGTGATGTTTTAATTTTAAGAGACACTGGCACCCAAAAAAATTAATTTAACTTCATGCGCAGGTTATGATCTCAAAACACTACCCGAGACCTTTGTCGTGCTATCCAAGATCTCTTTGTTGCCATGTGGAAAATTTACAAATTATGCGTAAAAATATGGTATTCCATACCATTCAATTTACCATATGGTATGCGTTAAGTAAGGTATTGATAATATACACACTCTTTTGTCTCTGTCCCATGTTTTCTTGCCTCACTGTTTCGACCCATGCTGCTTTGTCCCCTGCCATTCTCTCACGTTCCCAGAAAAAAAGTGCAGTCCCACAACACACGCCTCCCCAGGAAGAAAAATTGTGAGGGAGATGAGACAAGAGAGGGGCTTCGCTCACCTGGCACCAGAATGTCTCCAAAGCCCAGCAAGGAGAACTGGCTGAAGCAGACGGAGAGGGACTCGTTGTTGAGGTGGGGCACCCGCAGCACCATGGGCAGCTGCTCCTGGCTGTTGCCTCCCCTGGCCACTTCCACCATGATGCTCTCCCCCTTCTGCGACCCCACAGCCCTCTCTCTCTTTCAAGGCTCCTTCACATATTTGCGACAGCTTACGACCTTGTGGCCTCTTACGAGGCGAGAGCACACTGGCGGCTGATATTGAGTAAACATGGAAAACTCCCGGTTTCTGTACACTATTTCTATTTTTTTGCACATTATTCTTTTTTATTGGCTCAAAAATCCTTCGACAATGCTATAAACCACCGCCCCTCATAGATACTAGTACCGTAAAATGCATGCAAGCGCCGACAAAAAATATAGAGATAATCGCGAAAATCGGGGAATGGGTGCTTGTTAGGTCATCAATTTTACCTATATATTGTCACTAATGACAATTGATGTGGCAACGAAAGCTAAATAAATGTTTAATGGGGCGAACTTGTGCCGAAAAACAGAATAGGAAAAAAGCTAGCGTCACAGGCGTCGATGGCGGCGAAACAGCAGGATCGAACGCTGGGGCGAGACTGACCCCGGCTCGCCACGCGAAGCCCCTTATGTACACGTGTGGGCTTCTGAAACAATCGGCGTAAAAAATTCGGTGCCTAGAACATTCGGACCTCGAATACGCAACAGGGTTCTCGAATTAATCGGAATGTGAGAGTTACAGAGATAATAAACATGTATGTCTGCTGCCAGGAATCAAACCGTGGGCCTTTGCGTGGGAACCAAGCACGATAACCGTTGGGCCATGGGCGTGCTGCCTACTTGGTCACGGCTGCGCACACGACGATATGTACTGTGCATAATTTTTCAGATGTTGCAAAATTTGGGGGTATGAAATGGGTGGATGCTTGGTATTTTACAGTATGTACATTTGATTTCGTGAATACTGCAGAAACGTTACTCTAGCGAAATGCAGTTACAGGGCCCCCTTGGAGATGGCACCAGAGTGTTCTCCTGTCATAGGAGATCGCAAGAGCTCAGTCGTAAGCAAATGCGGGTGTGTGAAGCAGCCTTTAGCCACCTCTGTGTTGCTACATGTGGCCACTCTGATGGACAACTTGTCGGTGCACTGAAGGTCTACATACACTTTGTCTGTTGCTCACTTTCTTGCTCCCAACTCTGCTTTACTTTTTTCTATTTAGCCACCCTCCATTAGGAGGAGAGAACGGAGCTCTAACCTGCACAAGTCCTTAGCGTCAACATTTCTTGCGCGACGCTGTCGAGGCTACAGCATGTGTACATGACCTCGTCTTGCACGTTATTTTTGCGTGCTCTCGTTTGAAGGAGACGCCAAACGAAGAAATATGCTCGTGCAACTAGTCTTGACAGTGCTGAAAAAACTACACTAACCTCGACGATGCCGCACGGCAATGTTACTGCCGAGTATTCTCGACTCCAGCGACCTATAGGGGGCACCACCACGAAACAAACATGGCGACTGGGTCCAGGTCGCGTCGGCTCGGCCGGGCCGCCTGAAGGGGTGACGCATTCAATTTAACAGATTTTCTTTTGTTCAATGCCCAATTTTATAGGTATTTAAACTGTGACGGTTAAGTGTAGCCGGTGCACATAAACTTGCAGAGCATAGTTTTGTTTTCCCGGTGCTTTTTGTTCTTTTCATGTCTAACTTATGTTTCAGAGATCTTGTTCAAAACCGAAACTATGGGATCCGGAGAGACGGTAATAGGCTCTAATCAGTTTTGATCAGCTAAGGAAAGCGGCGATGACTACAGAATTGTTCCACCGAGAGTAATTTTCAGCTAACTCGCATGCCTCGACCATGCAACTTATCTGTCCGCGAAATCAAGCTTTTGTGCGTATCCACATTTTCCAGTCGTCTGCTCGGTCAAGAACACAATCTGCAGGAAAATTACGAAAATTAAGCAAGCACTTCTTGAGCCAAGGAGTATGTTAACCCGCTGGCACCCCACTAAGCAGCTGATACTCGCATTTCAAATCAGGTTTTAGTAGCAATCAAGAAGTCATTTTGATGAGCGGGTTATGTATTATATTACGTATTACATCCCACTAAAGCAATATTAGTATATTCTTCGGGTTGAAATATGAGCTTAGTTGACTAGCTATTAGGTCAACTGCTGAATAAAAGTATATCTGACAGACAGAGCGATACTACTTAAACTTATCCAAATGGTTCTAGCCGGTAGCACGGAGACGAATGCGGACAAACTGAAGAGAGTCTTCATCGAAAATTCACGCAGAACCTCTCTGCATTGAACCTGCCTTCGAATCCTGAACGGAGAAGATTAGCATTTTTTGAGGCCAGTCAACCTGAGAATTGTAGACCTATATTGCTACTGGCTTCGACGAAGGTATAATATAAATATTGGAGGCGTGATAGATCATAATGCCGTGACAGCTTCTAACTTTGCGAGATGCGCCCCCCGCCTTTTGGAAGCAGATAATTTCCCTCACTAATCATATGCAGCGAGCAGGTTTTCCTGAATCAAGTAATTGCGGAATCAGCCCAACTCCTTCCGTGTGGTCCAAAGGGTTTTTCGGCGAAAAGCAGCCAAGAAGAATAGCCAACGCACCAACCGGCGTGGGTGGCTCAAACTTGAAGCTAATCGAACACAACCAAACTCAAGAAAAGCAGCTATTGAACATTCCCATTCACTTGACTGCAACATTGGTGTTCCCTCCACTGAAACACCTCGTCTGTCGCCCTCAGTCCACTGTTCTACATCCTTATAAAGAAACCACTTAACAGTTACCGAGTAGTCATCACTTTGAATGTGATTCGAGACAGACAAGAAATCAAAACGTTTTTCCGGGATTCCTCCCCATCCAAGAAATCGAAAGCACGCGATTGTGAGTTGTGTGGAGTAAACGGGCTTTCAAACACGTGATGGAAGGAAACAATCTCCTGAGGCTTCACCACACTAATGAACACTCAGGCAAACGTAAGAAATTTTTGGACCTTCTTCAAATTACATTGTTCGTGTCCGCAAAAGCCACCCGAGGCGCGGAGGGGCGCGGAGCGACCTGGTCCGGCTGGTTCCGGGTTTTCCCGCTTAATGGAGTCCATTTTGCTGGAGTCGCGAATAGTTTGCATGCGGGAATCTAAAGACCAACGTACAAAATCTTTATCTGCCTGTTGGAAATGTACTTTTTGCACTCTTGTTCTCCTTGCCCGATTACCGCAAAATGTGGAGCTGATTCCCACAGAGACATTCTCTTTTCTGGCTGCACAACAAACTTATGGTCACTGTTACAATGCGAATAATGTCAGTTTCGGTTTACGTTAGCTTCGATTTGAAGGCAATCACCATCATCAACATACACTGAAGACGCAATAAATTAATAGTGTTGCGGGGCTAGCGGCGTGTTCTCTCTTATATCCCGCTCTACTTGTACAGTCAACCAGTATGGGTCTCAAGGACGCAACAAACATGGTTTCAGAAGTGAGGTTAGTCGAAAGCAATTGGCACTTCTCTTTTTGGCTCCACCATTGTGTCATTGTACATTTTCAACTTTGTAGGAACTCCTTGCAGGGCTTCATCATCAGCAAAGAATTCTGGGATTATATTTATTGAAGCTCCACTGTCCACTTGGAACTTGATGGCTTCATTATATTTCCTGTTTCAGACAGTTTCGAAGATGCCTATGGTTTTGCTTTTCTGGACTGTCAGAACAGTTTGAAGTGAAGTCATCCGTGACAGCGTGAACAGTGTTTTTCAATGTATCTTGGCCAAGAAGGCAGAATGGGCATGGACTGATGAACAGAACCATGCGTTCGGAAAATTGAAAGGGCTGCTGCCCCTGCCACCTGTCCTCAAGTTCTATGACCCTGCCAGCGAGAACGGACTGGAAGCCGCGCTGCTGCAACAAGGGTCCCCCATCTGCTATGCCAGACGAGCTCAGAGAGCTACGGAAACCAGGTACGCCCAGATAGAGAAAAACGTTGGCTATCAGGTTTGTTATACATAAATTCCACCAGTACACATACGGAAGAGATGTCACCGTGATTTTAAGCCACAAGCCACTTCAGAGCACCACGAAGAAAGCCCTAGACAAGGCGCCAAAGCGTCTTCAGAGTGTGCTGCTGCAAGTGCAGAGATACGATTTAAAGTACTGTTCAAACTTTTTGTGTGAAAATGAGCATCCTGAAAAAGACGAAGAAGAAATGGGATCCTGAGAAAAGGAATACACGAGATGGACGATTGAGGCTGGCCATGAACGGACGTTACCGGAGGTTCTTAATGTAAATATGTGTACATCAACACTGTTGCTGACCTCACCTACTAACAACCAGTCAGCCGTTCTTACAACATGGCGCCGAAACACGGGAGAGGGCTTAACGAAACGGTGAGAACCTGACTCGACACATCAATGAAAGGTCACAACAGTCAATGCACCAACAATCAACCGGCAAGATGAACAAGCCTTCAACCAACGCAACAGATGGCCAAGGTATTCGCAGCTTCACCGACGCCGACATTGCATGTTTTATCCCACAAAGTACTGAAATTCGAATGGAGGTAGCGTCCCTCTTTCAACATCTGGAAAGTGACCTACCAGAAAAAAGAACAAACCGGCAGAGAGTGACCATACCACTGAGCACACAGGCTAATATAAAACAAACTCTTCGTGGATTTCACCAGGGGACTGAGAGCTACCTTAGAAGAACAACAGGGTGCATCTTCTGACCTAGGATGAACTCTGAGATCAGAGGTTCTTCCGCTCATGTGAAGTGTGCCAGAGGCACAGCCATGCACAACCAAAGGAACCTCTAATTCCACATCCGCACTCAAGGTACCCATGGGAAAGAGTGGGCACGAACATCATGAAGTACAAAGGCCGGAACTTTCTGGTAACTGTTGACTACTTCAGCAACTCCTTCAACCGCTGCAACTGCAGTCATAAAGAAACTCAAGGCACATTTTGCCAGGTACAGCATACCAGCGGTGCTCATCAGTGATAACGGCCCTCACTTTGCATGTGCCGAATTCTCAGAGCCTTACTGAAGAAGGTTCTGGAAAGTGGACATAATTTACAGTTGTCTTTCCTAGATCACCGCAATATGTACACCATGCAAAAACAGAAAGGCAAGTCCAGCTCAACTAATGATGGGCAGGAGGACCCAAACCGTACTTCCAACAACAGATGTCCATCTGAAACCATGCACCTTGAACCATCGAACACAGTGAAAGAACAAGGCAAGCCGAATAGGAGACTATTACAACAGGACTGCGCGAGAGCTCCCCGCACAGAAAAAGGGAGGCACCGTCACAGTGCAACCGTTCAGCCCAAGATCAAAATGGAAAAAAAGTACAGTCGTCAGACATATGGCACCCAGGTCGTACAACGTTGATGTCCAGGGAAACACACTGAGAAAAAACAGAGTTTACCTACGACAAGTGCATGGATAAGCTCCGGCAACACCGGGTCAAAGGAGGAACCCAGTAACTATGCAGGAATCACACCTACTGGTCCAAAAGGTACCAACAGCACACCAGGGCCACCATCAGGCACCCCACCCCGCATGACCCCCTATACAGCTCTCACAGAGGACCCAGGACCAACCAGGCACAGCAGACACCCGAACAGCGGACAGCCCAACCAGTATGCAAGGAGCTGTTTCCGCGACACTTAAGTGACTTTGTAATGTCATAGCCAGAAGGATTTTCTCTCTCAAAGAAAAGAGGATGTTACAATATGTGAATATTGTCAGCATTAATGAGCAGAACGTAAGGGCGCAAGTGAGCTGGTGTATATCAAACATTTTAGTGAAAAACCCGAGACTGAGGTATTGACAGACGACGACAAGGAAGAAAAGGAGAATGTCTCCTTCTCTTCCTTGTCATCGTCTGTCAATACCTCAGTCTCGGGTTTTTCACTAAAATGGTTGGATATTGTCAGTTTCGGTTTATGTTAAGTTTCGATTTGAAGGCAATCATCATCAACATTATACAATGAAGACACAATAAAAAATGGTGTTCCATGGCTAGCGGCGTGTTCTCTCTCGTCTCTTGCTTGACTTGTACGGTCGACCAGTATGGGTCTCAAGGACGCGTCAAATAGTCACTGAAAAGTTTCCTCTTTTCTGGCTGTATACCAGAATCGAAGTATGCTCACAAACTAAGGGCACATTTGTATGCAACGCTTGCTAGGTCTCAATCGCAGTAACAAAAAAAAAAGAGCCGACTACCGTAAAATTCTGTGAGAGCACCCACCAAAATGAAGAGATAAATGGTGAAAAACATGAGGTGGGCTATTTTTGAGGGTGCAACAAAAAAACTATAAAAAAATTTGTGATAAACACTGGGGCACCCGGTACAAACCACATAACATGGGAACTGATACTGGAGACTGCAAACACAGCAAGTTCCCATTTCACGATGCGATAAACCTGCAGTAATTCGCTATGAACTTCTCTGTCACAGGAAAGGATACCCCAGGTTCTGGACACAGCAGGTTCACATTAATTTCATGGTGCAGAGGCCCCGTGGGAACCTGCCATGAACTTGTATCTTATGGGAACGGAAACCGCAGACAGCGGATGCAGCGGATTCAACTTTTACAGTGCAATGAACACGCAGTAATCTGCTACAAACTTGCCTGTCACGGAAACATATCACTTGCGCAGATACCGGACAAAAAGAGAGGAAATTCACTACAAACTTGCATATCACAGGAATGGATACTGCAGATGCAGCAGATCTGCATTTCACGATGCAATATACACGCGGGAGCAACTTGTGTGTTACGGGAAGAGACATCGTGCACGCAGGTCGCAAACAAAAACGCACAAAGCCATTATGAGGTCACGCATGATATCCGACGGGAATCGGAGGGTGGGCGATCTTTCGGAATTTTTACGTTATGGATATTCTAGCAAAAACAAATGGAGGGACGATTTCAAGGGAAAGGACAGTCTTTTATGGTAGATGGCTTCTGCCTACAGCACACCACTCAGAATTTCCATTATAAATTTTTGTGACTTATCTATGGCATCATTCAAAGGTCACAATTAATAAAGATGTGATTAAGAGTCACTTGTAATAGTTATAATGAATTCTGAATATATCTATGATTAATGCCAATGAGATAAAATTTAATTATTGATCTAATCCACTCCGTATATCCACTCCACTCCCAAAGGAAAATTTAAGTATTTTTTTTTTACATTTAGTCTTATGATTGCAACACACAGCAGGGGTATTTAGACAATAGTGACAAACACCTAATTCGGACAAATGAGTAAATGTCTTGTAAATCAATAAAAAAAAAAAAAAAAAGACCAAATCATACTGGTGGTGCCACATGCATAGCAGGAGAAAAGGAAAGTGCATGTGCAATGCTTCGGTCTCATTGTTTGAGCCACATTCGATTTGAGCATCACATTATCTCTCTCTCTCTCTTTTGCTCTACTTCTCAGCAGAAGTTTGGGTTTTGGTGGTTTCTATAATTTAATTTTTCACACATTCTCATTCATGAAGACATATGTATATAAAACACATGGAAAGAAGTTGGGGATGTGCTGACCCCTCATGAAATGAGAAACACATTAAACAAATCTCAAAATCATCTGTAGTGTCCCTTTAAAATGGAACCATAACTGCCGGATAAACTATGCAAAAGTGTTCTGAGATTATATACCTTATACGGTTGATCGTGAAGCTTGCAATCATACCCAGTTCTAAATTCTAATACAATAAGAAAAAATGCAAACAGCAGTGTAATCTTACCATGGTCAAAAAGGGTGTGATGAACACAAAGAAGATGTCATAGAAGAACAGCAAAATCAGGAGCACACTGCATATCTAAGGGAAGACAAGGCAAGATTTAGTTGGCGCATCACACATACCGTATTTTCCGGCGTATAAGAGGCGCATCGTTGTATAAGACGCACCCCCCACTTTTCACAAGTTTCTAAGTAAAAATTAGTATATAAGACACGTCTGTGTATAACACAAACCTATTTGTAGCAGTGCAGCTGTCGCCATCTTTTGCCATTTTAGCTCACCACTTGCGGCTTCTGAGATTCGCGCAGCCTCCGTGACTTCAATCTGTTTTATTTTAGTTTTCTCGACTTTCTTTTTTGTTTTTCTGTTATGGAACTCTAGTTTTGAGAGGTTGACTTGCATTTATGACACATCATTTGCATTGAGCTGTCATAATAGTTAAATAAAAGACATCAACAGGAAAAGCATCAACAGGAGTTCCTTCAGAGTTTGCCAAAAAGAAAAAAAATATACATATAAGACGCACTGCCACAAATTTTGAAAAAAAGTGTGTCTTATACACCAGAAAATACGGTATATATCGCAATGTCCGGTAAATAGCATGACCTTTTCCGTGTAACTGGTACTTTCCCGCAGGGCATGCTAAGGCTTATCATTGTCATTTACAAGCAGCAAACTCTCGTAAACGGCAAATGACGAGGAGCTGATACCGTTTTGGCTCAGAAATGTCATTTAATATGCCAAGATTTCAACGTTTCCGATGCCTCGGCATTTGTTGGTTTCTCTCTGCAAACGATGGTGACTGGCTGTTCCGACCCACTGTGGTAGACGCGTGGGTTTGATAATAAAAAGGCTCGAGGTACACCTAAGCACTTCTTATGAGTTTTGAATGTGAAAGCATGCATGTCATTTTTGCGCACGTCCTTGTGAAGTTGAGGCGCCTTGCTGACATGTCAGCGGCATGAAATTGGCAGCAGGAATCGGCTCGGGCGGCCGTGCCGCTGCCAGAGCTCGCCAGCCGATTTTTTTGCTGGCTCGCTGGTGGCGTGGGCACGCAGCGCGATGGGGTGGCGCTAATTGAGACTGACAGGCGGCGGCCTCCTTCTACTTCGTTTATTTGCCGCTTTGCGTGGCTTTTTGCACGGCTTCAGAGCTGGGATGCCTCAGATCGCAGCTTCACGAATTTATCTGCTGTTTGGCGCGGCTGATGACGTCGGCTCGCTCCAAGGGACCCCCCCAGTTAATGCTTTCACATTAAAAAGGCTCATATTATTTGCGGGACTTTACGGTAGGTACTAGTGAAATGAACATATACCAGAAATTTTACGAGTGAATTAAGTACTTACTGTTAGATATTTGCAACAGGTTTTAGTATTAAAAAAATATATTTCAACCTTTCCAATAGCTTTTAAAAAACAATATTCAAAAAGAATGGCATTCAATAAAACAACTCGCAAGCATCATTGAGCATCTGGAAGATAAGTTGTTGAAATGGTGACTTTTATTCTCATCCTCAATCTCAGCAAGGTCACAGAGAAACACTGCAAAGAAACCCCGACTTTAAAGAGACACGCAAGGAAATCCCGTTTGCTGACCATGAGGTTTGGCATCCGCAGTGTCTTGAGCATGTTGATGCTGAAGGCCACTCCCAGCAGGTCCTGCAGGATCCACGACTGGGGGTGGTGCCTCAGGACGACCCACGTGACGGACACGGAGATGGCAAATATAATCAGCACCAGCTGACGGATCTCCAGGGGTCCGTGGAAGCAGGGGCACACATTCTTGGGGATTCTAAAAAAGGTTGCATGGGTGAAGTGTAGACGACCATACGTTATGCACAAACATAAAGAATGCATCAAGCAAACATGTATCAGAAAGATCGAAACATATGAATGCACAAGCATATAAGAGGCTGTACTTACTAAAAGATGGGCCGATACTTTAAAGCGAGAGCATTAACCGTCCCATGGAGCGAACCGGCGTCATCAGCTTTTGAAGCCGCCCCAAGAAACACGTAACCTCCCCGTCTTAATGAAGCGAAGCCTGTCCTCTGTAGTAGCAATTTAATGGCTAGGCTTGGATTGGCTGGCGTGCGTCATAGTTTCAAGGAACGAGGCTCCCATTGGCTGCCGCACGGCATAGTTCTGAGGAACGCCATTCCACAGAGAAGACTCCTCCGTAGCGGTGCGGCGGCCCGGCTGCCGGTAAGAGGGAGCAGCTGGCTGTAGAGCCAGCAGAGCCCTCTCCGGCAGACTCCGGAGAGGCTGCACGGCCGAGCACAGCACAGTGCGGCCACCTCACGAGGAAGCGCGCTCGGCCGTCTGCGCAACCTCGGAAGTAGCAAAATGTGGCTGTCCATGCCAGTACGCCACAAACAAACTAAGGAAGCAGAAGATTGACATTCATGCTTTCGCATTCACAACTCATAAGAAGTGCTTAAGTGTCCTGGGAATTTTTTTTTTAAATAGAAATCCTGCTTGTTTATTTTCCCACGGTACACATAGATGGCCGAATGTTCTAATCAACATAGGAGGTTCTAAATTATGACCAGTGAAATCATTCCTGGCCCACAAACATTGTGCTTGGTGTCCCAATGAAGACCACTCTCTTGGGTATAATGTTGTCTGCTCTCTCATTTTGTGGGGACTCCTACCATGCATTGCAATTAATGGGTGCTCCGCACTCTGCAGGTACACAGGTAAGTGTTTTTTTTTTTTGTTTTTTCTTAATGAGGTTAGTGAGGCTACACTGACACTGGGCATGATCTTCAAATCTTCAGTGTCTTTTCCAGAAGGCATACCAAAAAGATAATACCTCAGGCTATTCTGATGAAAATGATAGTCTACATTTGGGCTAATATGGTAAACTGAAGGAAGGAGTGAACCTTGGACAACTGGAATGCTAGGCAGTCTCTATATAGTAAGCGACAACTAGTCACCTTGTGATCCCCAGTGGCACCATGTAGATGAGAGGCTCAAGGACACCGATGACAGAGACCACAGATGCCAGAGCAAACATACCAATGATGAAGAACACTGCACAAAAAGAGAGACACAAAAAGACAGACTACAATCAAAAACAGAGATGCATTAAAACAAAATGATGCATGAGGCACATGAGGTGGGCCCCTAATAAACACTTTTGAGACAGTCCTTTACAGGACCACTCCTCTATGCAAATAAAAGAATTGCTAGGCAACCATGTAAAATAAATCGGAGCCTTTAGTCTAGGTGGCGCAAGCCACCACCCCCTACTGAGATCATTTTTTAAACACACCTAGTTGTTGAGAAAAGAGTTGACAGAAACAGCTGGGGCAATAAAGGTGGCAACACTGTCAAATAGTTTCCAAGCAAGTCTACATTTGGCTTGACCTTATGTGCGAGCAATGCCTAGCTACCAGTATGAGCATGTTGCCCCGAAGGATGCTTGAATTGCACGCGCACTTGCTTGGCAGGGACGCTGAAAATATGGCATTTGCTCTTGTTTCTTCTGCTATGCTCACACTTAAAGTGAAATGAAGTATAGGCATGTCTATTAGAAAGGTTAACTGTACAAACATCCACCCATCTGAACCACAACAGCCAGCGAAATTGCCGAAAGTTTAACGACATGAACAAACCCAGGTATTGGAAGAAGAAGTAGAGGAGCAGCAACATGACCCCCATGCAGATGACGAAGAGCGTAACGAGCACGGGTGACACGTCGAGCGAGCTCTCTTCCTCCATAAGGTTCTCAGACTTGGACTGGGAGCCGTCCACGGCCGCCTCACTGGCTGCCGTAGCGGCGCCTGTGTGGGTGCACCGACCGACCTCGTGCTGGTAGCTGCAAGATTGCGGCACCCAACGGTTATCCTGCATGACCAACGTTGCCTGGCACGCATTCACAGCTTAGTTACAAGGTCGCCTTCACGAGCATTTCAAACAATGCTGGGCACTTATGCAAGAAAACTGCTTAAGAAAGAGCAGTTATGTTCTATGCTTTGCAGATGGACCCCTCCAGGAGCATTCTACTGAAGCTGGTGTGATGCGCCTTCAACCATGTCATTCTACCATAGGGTGGAGAAAACCCAAGTTCTACCGTTTTCCTCTCCATTCAGTCGTGTTGCCGTTTTATACAGAGACAACTGGAGGATCACGGTTGCAAGTTGAAATAAGTTTTGGGGAGGGTGTGCAACTATAACATATGTGTTACCACTTTCTTGATCATTCGAAATAAAAAATAATAATAGTAATTATTAATAAATATCAATCGAGATTGATTAAGGAAACGCAAGATTTTTCCAAATTAAGTGTTGGAAAAAGCAAATATAAAACTGAAAAAAAAAAAATAAACGAAGTTATGAACATACAGGTTGAGTCTAAAATTTCTACAAAGTCATAACTTGGGTTCCCACAAATGGAGATGCCAAAGACCTTTACAATTAAACAAGAAAATGCGCTGCTGACGTAAAATGGACTCTCTGATTATTTCCGACTACAAGCTCCAAATATATGTAAAATATGGTGATATTTCCATCCTGAAAAGTTTTGCTATATGAAATATACTGGAAACATGCCACACTATAGGCTGAAATGAGGAGAAAAAAAGAGAGAGGGCACACTTATAAATACCGAGCTTGGGTCAGGAAAGCTCTCAATGGCACGCTGCTTCCAGAGTCCGTTAGATTGCTTTTAATTTCTTGATTCACAAGCAGAAGCATGCAAAAGAAAAGGGACAATAGTACTCACATCTCATGCTTCACTAAGCCCGACCAATATGACCCGACTCCTAAGGTAAACACAGCCACAAGCCAAATTATGATGAGGCTGAAATCAAATGACATTTTCTTCTTTGTAAAAAGTTTTGTTAAAAGAGGCTCCTTGGGTTTCATCAAGCCCTGCAAAAAAAACAAAAAAAAACATTTACTTTTTGGACAATACTTTTAGAACCCTGCAGCCAGGAATCTCCAAAATGTAGCGGTAACTTTGTTGTATCAGAGGAAAGAGTCTGAAGTTATTTCGCAGACCTTACAAACATAATAAGTAACTGCAATTCTGGAGCGAGACATCAATTATAAAATGTTTTCCTACCGGCTCTTTTTAGCATCTCAGCTGGAGCCTGCTTGTCAGATAGGTGTACATGATCCAGCAAGGCTGTTCTTCCGTCTCGCATAATTGCTAATAAACAAAATATGTGTCTTTGGCGTAGAAGAAAATAATAAACAATTAAGGCCCATTCCTTAAGACTGCGTGCCTTAAAACCTTTTAAAGTCTTTTACGACGAGAAAACATGCTGGCACATTGGCGCCATCTATGCGGTGACCCTGGAACTGCGTGAAAGAGTGAGACACGAAATAGAAAACTTACAAGACCGCGAAGTGTTCCACAGCTACCCAATAGGTGGCACCAGCGTCTACTCTCGTCGTAACAGATTTTAAGAGGTTTTGAGGAACATGGTCCTAAGAACTAGCAGGCAAATGAAAAACCTTTAATCGTTTAAACTTTATTGCTCACACACTTCTGGACCACCTCTAAATTGAAACAAAGTTGCTACAAAAAATTCACAGTCAGTTACAGGAAATCCAGATTGACCTTACTCCATTACACATTACTCAGGACAAAACGAAAGTACAGAGTGCCCTCTAAAAAATTTAGCGCTTCTTTTTTCGTCACAAATGTAAACTGTGCATCACCAAATCCTCAATCGGTGCACACACTTTAGTGCTAGTGGTCCAGACCAGATGCCAAAGTTTCAGAGTCTGCCGTTATCTAATTATAAAGTTATAACAGATTTTTAGAAATAAAAATGGGAAAATGGCGACCGACAAAGCCCGTCGATACACGAGACAAATTTTATGAAGTACTGTGAACAGGCTACTGGGAACGAGCCATCAACAGTTTTAGAGAATCACTTATAACTTTTGAATAAGATAACGGCGAGCTCTGAAACCATGACGTCTGGTTCAAACTGCTAGTGCTACGTTTGGGCAGACTAAGAGTTCAGCGGTACTTGGTGTATTTTTGCAAAACAAAAAAGACACTGCAATTCTTCCATAAAACGCTTAAAACATTTATTATAATATACCTTACTTCTTATTAGAGCCATATTTTGGCAGGCGCACAAACTATCAAGCCTCCATGCCACCTCTGAGGCTTCACCACTATCCCCGCTCTGCCTGCGCACCGTTCTCCGCACTGGTTCATATGATGTTTTTTTTGGAAGTGGTGATGGTCTTAGGTATTTCAAAGATGCATTATATATGACGGTATTAGCAAGCCTGTTTCGGACAGTTGCATTGGTTACGTTCAAAATGACTGAAATGACACCAACAATAAAGTCAGCGGGAAAGCTGGTTGCCGCACATAACGTTACAGGCAAAGCAAGAAGTGGCCTCCTGAAAGAATCATGAGCTGCAGTTGTCTCGGTGTCTTTATTGTTGCTATCGATTTGGTTGCTGTGGATGCAGCCAACAGAAAGGTGTAATGCAGCCCTGACCAGCGATTAATAGAGTATAATGGAGAGCTCCATATATCGCTAGATTTTGACAGAGCCCGCAGTAGAAGTAGGTGGTGCGAGCTCTTCCTTTTCATTGCCCGGGTAGTCCCAGTAAAATACTACAATTATTCCAAGATTTTCTGTAAAAATTTTAGATTGAAAAGAAAAACAATGCAGTCTGTACATTTACTCCGGCAGGCTTCTTATTTCTCCGTTGATTGCGCAGCGAGATACAGCAGTATTGCGGCATCACTTTCCCGTAGCAACACTCTGCCCGTAAGCTCAAACATGGGTTGATATGGCATGTGACAGATGGCATGTGAATCTGAACAAGGTTAATTGAGAAGCGTCTAAGAATGCTCCACTCACCAGCAAAGAGTTGCTGGTCGCCTCGGTGACAAATCCAACAACTAGGTCGACGCGCCGAGTGTCGTTTCTGTCAATGATTATGTTGTCCTAGAGAAAAAGAGTAAGGCAGCAGTCGATCAGGCTCAAAACATGGCTGCGTTCGACGTCTGGAGCACACAAAACTCACAACTTTGAACCTCGGCGTGGAAATGATGATGCCGTACGCCTGGGCCGCCTTGAAGTGTAGTACCACCTTGTCCAAAGTGCAGTTGGCAGTGTCCTTGATGAGTGCCACCTTGCCATGCAGGTTAACCGACTGCAGCTTCTTGCACCCGTCATGTGCCGTCATGTTAACCATTTTCATGTAGGGCTGAAAAGCAGAGGCTTACGTGAGGGCCACTTCCATGCAAAGGGGAAGGAAGCACTCTGCTGACACGTGGCACAGCTAAAATCACAGTTGTGAGTTTAGTGTTGCCACCTGCTATACTCTGTTTCACCTTATGTTGTACCGCAGCGAAGGCTAGAAGCGCGAGCTCATAGCGTTGGCAGCTGCCCTTGGTGCACGAGAGCCTGTGCCGCCGAGATGTGCCCTTGAGCAAGGAGCTCACGCTTGTAGCCTTTCCTACGGTACAACACAAGGTGAAACAGAGTATACCAGGATCATAGAGTTTTCTCATGCGGCTTTGGTGGAAGGAGGGAAGAATAACCAGGGGTACACAATTACAATCAGTACATTACAATGTTTTCAATGGATGAACTGGAGATGCCATTGGCATGCAGCTGATAATGAGGGGCCGAAGCTACACATAGCTTTGCTCGCAACAGTTGATCAATGACGAGACAGACATAAGGCATAGATGGATTGGATGCCACTTTAACCCATTCGCTACCAAAGCCGGCGAATCGCCGGGCGTGCCATCAGGGGCCATATTGCCAAAGCCGGCGATTTGCCGGGCTGCATAAATTTCTGTTTTAAAGAGACATTAATAGATTGCGCACTATGTAGACTTCGAGTAGTTTAGTTAGATACATTACCAACAGTTGGTGAGGGTCGTTCTGTTCACTGTGTTTGTATGAGCTTGTTCTTTTGTGTGTAGTCTTTCCCGCTCAATCGCTGTCTGCTTGGAGAAGATGGCAGCGTCCAGGGTACGGTGTTGCCTTTCTGACGATGAAATCATAGATACCCTCATCGGCAGCGATTATGACGGGAAGTATGGTGAGGATAGTGAGTTTTCGAAGCCTTCTGTCGATGACAGGAGCGATTCCGACAGCAGTTCTGAGTCCGAATCACGACAAGAGCGCACTGGTTGTGCGATGCCTAAGCGACCGAGGATGGAGTGCTTCAAGATCTTTCAAACGAGGAAGAATCTGTGAGGGCCTAGTGATTTGTAGATTTGAACAAACCACTTAAGCATGTAAATAAACATGTTTTCCTGTTTTCTCCACTGAGTTTTACTGTAAAAGCTTATTATACGAGCAAAACGGTCACGCCTAGAGTGGCTCTGTTTTAGGGGAAAAACATGTGGTACAACGGCCCGGCAGCGTGCGACATGTGCTGTGGCGAATGGGTTAAACTACCGTAGGATACCATGCATCCGCCCATTCCGCACTAAGTGCCCACCCCAAAAATTTGAAACATCTGAAAAAATCTGCACAGTACATACATATGTAAAATTGATGACCTCACATGTGCCCATACCCTATTTTTTCGCGATTATCTTCAAATTCTGACGGGGCACTCGCTCGGTATTTTATGGTAGGTAAATTACCTAACGTTGAAAATAAAAGTTCTAACCTTTTGCGTTATTTTTTTTTTTTTTTTATGTGTAGGGATTGTTTTCTACCTTAATAACAAACAACATTCGAGTAGATCACTGTAGCACCTATGTTTGAACAGACCTACGAAAGCAGAGAAGCATTTTTGGTCTTCTGTCTTTCCGTCGATTTGTCAAATATGAAACATTATTACCTTCCTTCACCACGAAAATGCCAGTGTTGAGAAGTACCTTAAGTACATTGCACTTGAAGTACTACATCAAGGAGGCTTAAAAAACAAGTAATTAACTTGAAGTACATTCTCGCAGTGCATACTATCGGGGAAAAATGAAATACGAACCAAGGAGCGTGTGGCTATCGATCCAGGCTGTGCCGCCTGGAAGTGAGCCTAGGGGCGAGGGTGCCTGGCCTACGCCGATGTGTATACAACCCTCGCTCGGTGCTTCCCAAGCTTCGGCATTGCGCCTTTTAATGCATTAAAAGCTATCATCACTATCGTTGCTCGCTCCACGCGTGCGGCGCGAGGAAGCTCGCTTCTAGTAGCAGCTTGTGCGAGCGCTGGCTGAGCGCGCGCGCAAGCAGCAAGCTGCCGCACGCGTGGAGCGAGCAAGAATGGATGTGATGAATTTCAGTGCACCAAGAGGCGCAATGCTGAAGCTTGGGGAGCGCCGAGCGAGGGGGTGTATACACATTGGAGTAGGCTACACACCCTCGCCCCTCAGCTCACTTCCAGGCGGCACAGCCTGTACCGAAAGCCACGCTCTCCTTTGTTTGTATTTCATCGTTCCCCGAAAGTACTTGTACTTTTTTTTCTTGTACTTTACGAGGGAAGTACACCAAACTATATTCCCCAAATTTCGTCTTGTTAAATTTGTTTCACAAATGATGGTTTGTCAACTCTGAAGAAATACCAAGAGGGATATTTTATGGGGGTGACTTTCCCATAGCATTTTAAACTTTTGCTACGTCTCGCTTGATCAGTGCAAGCGAGGAGGTCAAAAATATTAGGAGAGGACAATCCTCTACAAGAGGATTGCTTGCAAAAGCTACAGGGCTGACGTCATGCTCTTTCCTATAGTCCGTTGCAACTCAAGAAGGTAGGGCGAGAGTAAAACAGGCAAGGGAGGAGGAAGCAGATGGAACGCTAAAGAGAGGGAGGTTTCCCCTTCTCTTCTCCAGCATTCCGTCGGCTTCCTCTTCCCCGGCCGGTTTTACCCTTGCCCTACCTTCTCGAGTTGCAATGGACTATAGTATGTTGAACCCCCTGGGTGCAAGCCAGTGCAAGAGGCACCAAATTCAAAAGTTTGAGGGACTTCTGAATTTGACACCATTTCCGAATATAATTAATGCATGCCCAATTATCCCAGGAGAACAATGCACACCAGTTTAAAACACTGAATAGGGGAATGAAGGGGCATCATGAAAGATTGTGTTAAAAAGCTCTTGTACTTTACTTTAAAGTACAATGTATTTATAGTGCTTTACTTCAAGTACATAGCACCTGGCATACTTACTACTTTACTTGATGTACATAACCTCTTTTTTACTTTGTACAGCATGACCCCCAAAAAATTGTTTTTTTTTTACAGCAAAAATAAACTACCTATGTGTTGCAGAGTGCTCATTCCCCGCCCGCAATGTAGCGCTAGAGGTCCGAACCAGATACCAAAGTTTCTGCACTAACCATTATCTTATTCAAAACGTATAGGCGATTTTCTGAAATTTTCACTGCGAAAATGGGGCCCATTTTCGCCTGTTTTTGGTAACTGGTGCTATAGGCCTCCTGCGCTGAAGCTCTGAACAAACTGTGGCGCTTTCATTTTGGGTAGTACAAGCTCACCTGCCTGGGCCTTGCACTACTTAATGCACATTTGCTGGCCTTTTATCTTCTGTGTAGTCCCGAAGAACGGAAAAACACCTCTCAACGTCCGAAATCGGCTAGATTCAATACAGCAAGACAATCGAAAGTGCCAGATTCATGCCACCACCGCGAGGGTATGCATCTATTATTCCTGCGTAATGGCGTCAAAACATCTGGCGTCCCAACGCTTTTTTCTCCTTTTTTCTTTGGAACATGTGGAACAGCGTCTCCTGGCTCACCCTCTTAGCGTCTTAACTTTGACCTGTGCTTCGACGGCGTTCGAATTTTAATCGTGATCTCGTGTTCCACACCACAGCTGGCACACTTCTACATGCGTGGAAGTTTAAGACGCTCAAGTTTGTGTACTACCTGAAAAAAGTCCTAATGAGTCCCTTTTCACAGTGCCCCATGGGCAAAGCAGGAGGCCTATAGAGCTTCATGTATTTGAAAGCTCCGTCGGCTATTGTTTTTCTATTGAAATTTTCATAAATTTACTAACTTTTTAATAATAGAACACTTAGTGCTGTAACTTTGGCATATGACTGTTTCGGACCTCTAGTGCTACATTTGGGTAGAGACCTAGTGTTCCGTGATGTGTAGTTTATTTTTGCAATAAAAAAATCCTTGCAAATTTTTAGAAAGAGTTATATACGTAAAGACAGGAAACGGGACAACAGTGAAAGATGTGTTGTCCCGTTTCCTGTCTTTACGTATACAACTCTTTCTAAACTTACATCATTACAACGCGCTCACTAAGAAGCAAATTTTTCTTTTTTTTTTTTGGGGGGGGGGGGGGGCATTTTGTATTTTTTTATATTAATTTACCTAACTCTGAAAAATACTACGTAAATTCGTGGCTCAGACAATTGCGGAAGCTGAATTAAGCCTTCATGCCCGTCGCAGATCTGTCTTTGGCAAAAGTTAATCAATGCAAAGACAAGAAACAGATTTATGCAGTCAAAATAAACAAGTAGATTATGATGATAATGCAATTAATGCAAAGGTGTAAGCGAGCTGGGCAAGAATAACGGTAATAATCCCTGAAAGACAAAGGGCAAATGCAAATCTCCAAGCACATCTATAGGTAAATGGTGCAAGACTGAAATAATTCACCTGGTCCTGGTATCAAACCAGGGACCTCTTAATTTCCAGTGGAGCACTCTAACAACTGACCTGACCTGACCTAACCTAACCTAACCTACCTAACGTCAGTAGAGCAAACAAGTTTTAACAGTTGCTACCAGTCTAACACCAACAAGGGTGAGCGGCCTGCATTTTAAGGTTATGATAAAAATGCAATGGGTCCCTATCATTTCGTCAAAACTAGTTTTGTGGGCAACTTTTCACGGGCAAGTGTTTTGTCGACACGTTCGTTTCATCGCCACTCGTTACATGAATTGCACGCTGTAGGGACATTTCGTCACGCGTGTATCACTAGGCAGAGCCGTGTATAGACCGACATACTGTTTACAAACAAGGCCGCGTTTGCCTACACCAGATGTGGCACTGTGCGAGCACAGAAACCAGATACTCATAAGGTGAATCTTCTGTGCATGCGACATGGCGACAACAGCGCCACCGCAGAGGCGTGACATCATGATGATGATTAACGGTTTAATGGCGCAAAAGCGACGAAGGCCATGCTGCGCCAGACTACAAGACTAATGCGACTCACAGTAATGGTAATTGAGAGCATACATGAAGCTGATGTTTTATATATTTATGGTGAACAG